CTTCAGATATTCTAACACATCTTCATCTTGGAGCTCATGAAGCTAATTGACCGCTCCCAGTTGCCAGGCAGTTGGGATGTTCCTTTCACATTTTTTTTTTTTTAATTTGGAAATTATGTAGGAAAGGTTCTAGTTATTCACCATGTGCTGGCTTGGAACTGTGCCTACTTGATACTAAAAGGGAAGGGGCAGACATTGCCAAAACACCCTTTTCTTGCTTCCCATCCTCCATTTTAATTTTATTTCTTGAAAGTATAGCACGACTGCCTATCAGAAACCTTTGGATTCTCTCTTCATTTGCTTCCTGCCTCTTAGTCTAGGTTCCTGAATGCATGAGGATAGGAAGATAAACACATGATTCCTGATGTCTTTGAATTAGTAGCATCAATGGGGGAAGACACTCTCTAAATAGATTACAACACCACAATTTTAAAAAGCAGAGAAAGGAAGCTGAACTTGGCCAGACAAAGGTACATAGATAGGGTTTCTAGGAGAAGCCAGAGCTGAATCCAGAAAGGAGTTATCTAGAGTAAGGAAAAGATTTCCTGGAAAAAGACAAAGCCTCTGCAAAGGCGCGGAGGTGTGAAACTGCACTGCTGTTCCAGTTTGAGTCCAGTTTTCCTCACTTCGGGGTTGGCAGCAGAGTAAACACTTTTCAACACTTCCTTCTTCCCGTCTGTGATGGGAAGCATCCTTTCTAGGCTTGTCCCTGCCCCTTCAGGGGCCAGGAATGATTCCCTACACACTGCAGGGAGACAATGGCTGAGCAGAAAGGGTTCCGATGCCCAATCTGAGGCCTTGACCCTGGCTTACCCCTTCCTCACTGGAGGATTCCAAATCCTGCTGGAGAGTGGCTGTGGGACATCTTGCCAGGATGTGGGGATGCTGATGACCCAGCACTCAGAGCAGGCAAGTGTGACAGGTTTTGGAACGGGCTCTGATTATTCTGAGATTGAGGTCTGTCCCATGGAGCTCAGTCTCTGCCAGGTGCTGATACAGTCATCGACAGTCCGGGCTGCCCAGGTTTCTTGTTAGACTGGATGAGGCAACTTTATAAGAACCAGGAAAGAAAAGACAACACGTGAAATAGATTGAAGCTATTTCAATCTATAAAAGTTAGATGTAGTTTGTAAGTCTATTTAAACTTTAGGCATGCAAATTTCCTGCCATGAACAATAGGTAGAAGGAGGATTGGTGAAAAAAAAAAAACCACTATTTTTAGCAAAGATAGAAGTGGAGAGTTCTTTTTAAACATGTATTATAATTCAATCATATGCATTAATCCTTCTGAGGACCAGGTATTTTGCTAGGTGCTGGGGATGAAAAGATGCGTATGATTTGGCTCTACCCCAGCTGGATTTTGGAGTTCAGATGACCGATACGTAAGTAGAAAATTGTAGTACAGGACCACGAAGGATCTATCAGGGAGGTTTAAAAATGTGAGATCAGAGCATAGAATAGGGGGTGACTAATTTACCCCTGAGGACTAGTCACTTTTAAACTACATTGGAGAAGGACAAGGGAAGCCACTTTTTTGTTTAAGTTGAACCACATGAACTTGGCAACATTCAATTCTATTTGTCCAAAAAAAAAAAAGTCAGTTTCAAATGGTTTAACTCTAAGAGCAGGAATGGCATGAAGGTCTGATTCCCTTCAACTCTAATCAAATGGGAATCATTCCCTACTGGCTATGTTGAGAATGCTTGTGAGGATTCCAGGTCAATAGGAAAGGATAATACTGAAATTGATTAATTCCATTCTGGCTAAAGAGTGGGTAGGTAGTGGTATAAATTGACCCCAGTTGCCATCCTTAAATTATAAGGAATTTGTTAAAAGCACGGAAGTCTGAGAAGTACCGATGTCACCATTTGATACAGATGAAGGTTCCTGGCATCTGACAGTAGAAGGTTTATGTTGAAGGCTAGGGACGGACAGAAGATCCAGCTCAGTGGACTCACTGAAGAGCTATGTTGAGGCTATGTAGAGAAGCACTTGGAAGGACATTGTAGGCACTCTTCATACTGCTACTTGTACCTTATTACCTATTTGACTTACTTTTTAAAACAAACACACTTACCCTTCCCTGCCCCCAAAAAATGCAAGGAGGTTGCAGTGTTCTCTGCTGCTTTGGTTTTGTTGAATTCAAAGCTTCCTTTTTAAGAAAAGGTCACAAAGCACTAAGGGAACATACAGTAAGTACTTTGCAAATTAAATTGGAGGATGCTTTTAGATAAAACAAAAACCAAGTCCTGTGAAGGCATAGATTTTGTTTTACAAAAGGTCAAAATCATTGCATAAAGTTTTGTTTTTTGTTTTTTTTGTTTTTGTTTTTGTTTTTTTACTATTAAGAAAGTATCCAAAAGAAGTTATTTCAGTCCAGGTTCTCAGAATCCACAGCTTTAAAAAAAAATTAGGAATGCTTCATTATGCCTTGCCAGAGGTTAGCTTTCCAGGCAAAAATCTGTGCTGTGTCCCAGTGGTATTCTATAAATTGCATCAAGGATATTGAAAATTGACCCAAGGGTTTTAACCATACAATACTGAAATGTCCTTCCGCATATGTTTTTGTTATAGTTATACATTTTTCTCTTGAAATTTAGGCACCCCAAGAAACTTCAGATCTGATTTTAAAAGTGTTTTTTTCTAACCAGGCATGCACAGGAGAGAAGGCTGAGGAGCTTTCCCTAAATCCACCTGCTAGGATCCTATTCTAGATGATTGATCTGATAACTCTGTGTGTTCTATAGAAACATTCATTTCTAAGATTTCTAGCAGTGAGCAGAAGCACATGGATAACCACTGCAGAGTCACACAGGAGTACTCATCAATAAAGAGCACTGACTGTAGAGGAGACTAACTGTCCTCCTTGGTGTAGGTAGCTTGCTTCCCCTTGGTTTCATATCCCAATCTCCATTCTTTGAAGTTTGGTTTGTTTGTTATTAATCCCCAGTGACCTGCTAAAACTGGAAATACCTGAGGAGAGGTTAAACCATGTAAAGGATCATCTCATACCTTGTGATAAATTTTTTTTTTTTTTTTGAGGGGGAGTTTCACTCTTGTCACCCAGGCTGGAGTGCAGTGGTGTGATCTTGGCTCACTGCAACCTCCACCTCCTGGGTTCAAGCGATTCTTCTGCCTCAGCCTCCTGAGTAGGTGGAATTACAGGTGCCTTCCACCATGCTCAGCTAGTTTTTGTATTTTTATTAGAGACAAGATTTCACCATGTTGGCCAGGCTGGCCTCGAACTCCTAACCTCAGGTGATCTCCCTGCCTCGGCCTCCCAAAGTACTGGAATGACAGGCATGAGCCAGCACACCTGGCCGATACACTGTTTTTAAATGAAGAAGAAAGAACTACTAGTTTAGCACAGGTGGATCATGACTGACACCCCTCCAGACTCTTGATATATTTACTACCGAGAGAAGGTTAGTTATTTTCAAGTTAATTTCACTGTTGTGTGAAGGGCTATTTTGGGGGTGGGGGTGGTTCTTCTCCAGCTATAAGCATAGGATACCAGATCGAAAAGGACTATGGGACATTCCTTCAGGTGGAACCTCTGATCCTGGGCCACTTTTCCCTGGGAAAGAATGGATGGAGTTGTCAGACTGGTAACAGGGGAAGAGTGAGATGGGTTAGCAAGAATTGTATCTGGTTTACTCTCCGTTGATGACATCCCCCGCAGTCCCTCTATGTAGCAGGGCCCCACACACTTTGGAAGTTTAAACTACATTTTTGGTGATCGTAGGGAAGATACAGAAGGATCATAGAACTATTCCCTAGGGCAAGTCTCCAGGGATGTAGAAAAGTTCCCTGTTCTGGGGAACTTGTAAGGTTGGCTTCTTATCCTGGGAGATTGCTTTCCCGTGGTGGTCCTGACAGGGGAACCCAAATCAAACTGGGGTGATTGACCTTCCCTCGCCAGGGAAGTGACCAGAAACTACAGGGAAGCATTTCCATCCCCAGTAATGGCCTTAAAACTCCTCAGAATTCTAATTCTTTTCAAAGTCTTGGAGTTTGAGTCTTGCAGCAGTGGGAAAGTAGAATTGATACCCTGACAATTCCTGACCCCGGTCATCCCTGGAGTGGGTGGTTGTTCAAAATCTGTCATAGATTGAGGAGGTATGTCAGGATTCCACCATTATTCGCCGCTGTAAAATTCCATCTTGCGAGGATAAACCTAGTGCCCTTCGCTTTAAATCAGGAGGAGGCAAGTCATTGCTGCAATGCAGCCGCGGTTTGCAGGATGAGCTAGGCAGCCTCTCTGGCTGGAAGGCAGAGAGCTTTAGGGAAGAAAGTGGGAATGCAGAAGCCAAAGATTCTCTCACCCAGTGTCCAGTGTGGGTCCAGTGTGGGTCCCAGGGATGGCAAAAAGTTGCAATTTTTCTTTCTCTGCCTTACTTTGGTTCTTCCTCTGAAGAACCGATTCGGAAAGACTGATGTTTGAAGGAAGGTACAGTTTTCCATAAACGTATCAACATGTATGCTTACTATTGATTATTACATGTCAGCCCCTGCCCTGGGTACATCTCCAGTCATACGATGCACAGCCCTTCTTGGAGGTAGGTATATTTACCCCTGTTTTCCAGATGGAAACACCGAGGCACAGAGAGGTACAGTGACTTGCCAGATCACACACAGTGAAGAGGTGTCTGAGTCAGGCTTACTCTCTAGTTCCCTCCAATATTTGTTAAGTTCCCTTTTCAGGATACCACGCTGCTTCCATTCCTGATCTGAACCTGGGCCCTGGGGCAACCAGAGCACGCTACACAACCCCGTGTGAAAAGTCCTGACGTGTGCTTGGCGGGCCGGGTTGCTGAGGGTGGGGGGGCTTCCGTTGATTCCCTTTGGCTAAGGCAGGGGGCTTTGTTGGGTGCCCTTGTCCTGCGCTCTGGGATATGGCTGTTTTCATTTCTTTGCGTTTCTCGGTTGCATTGCCGTGATCTCTCAGGTGTAGTGTGCCAATTCCCAAACCAGATACCATCTCTCTCTCTCTTTCGTAGGCACGGTCCTGTTGTGCCAGGCCAACCAGGAGGGATCTTCCATGTACAGTGCCCCCAGTTCACTTGTATATACTTCTGCAAGTAAGCCCACTGTCGTGGCTCTTTTTGTTTTGTGACATAAATCTGAGTCCAATCACCTTCCCTGCCATGTAAGTGCTCTCCCCCTCCCTCTGCCCCTCCCTCTCTGTGGCTCTCTCTGAGGTGAAGTTAATTTTCATCAGCATGTCTCTGTCTCCCATGCCACTTCCCAGATGTCCTGGACATTCTTTGTTAGATCCATCAGGATTGGGTCCCAACGGTTGGGAATGTGGGCATGGGGTTGGTGGGGAGGGGCATGGGAGGGTGGGAAGCTCTAGGTTATTGCCTGCCTTCTATCATAGCTTTGCAAATTAATGTAAAAATAGTTTAAATAGCATATACAGGCCACCCAAAAGGCACTGTTGCCTAGCAAAAGATGCTTGACCAGCAGAATTCTTGTACACAGTTGTCTCATGGTGCAGCTAGTCACTTGTTTCCTAGGCTGTTCTGTCCTTTGCTATGTAATTCCAATAAGGAGGAACAGGAGCAGGAGGAGGAGCAGGACCAGGAGGAGGAGGAGCAGGACCAGAAGGAGGAGGAGCAGGACCAGGAGGAGGAGGTGCAGGAGGAGCAGCAGCAGGAGGAGGTGGTGGAGCAGGAGGAGGAGGAGGAGGAGGAGCAGAGAGAAATGTGGTTCCCCCCTCATTTAATCAAGTGCAGGGGCAGCAACACTAAATAATTGTCTTTTAAAAAGTTGGGGCACTTGTAAACATAGGTAAGTCTAGCCATCAGGTCCTGGAAGGAAGAGACCCAAAATACAGGAAGTAGATCACAATGTTGACGTAGAAGAACCGAAGATTTCTCTGCCTCAGATGGATGCTCTGGGTTGAAGGATGCCCTACCCTCACCCCAATTCCCAGAGCAGGCAGAAGAATTAAAGTTACCACTGACTCTACCATGTTCTCCCAGAGGGTATACTCCTTCTGAAAGAGTCTCCCAGCCACGGCTGAAACTTTATCACGTGTTCTATACAATGTGTGTAAATCCTGTGAAGTTCCCATAACTGCTGAATGAGTTGTCTTTAGGGTCAGTGCTTAAAAGTGAGTCTGGGTGCCTGGAGTAGGGTTGGGGGCTGCTTCTCAGAGTAGTTGTAAAAGGCAAGGATGGGGAGGAGAGCAGGAGTACCAGGCTTGAGGGGTAAGACACAGGAGAATCCTCACCGTCATGCCAAAGCCAAACATCTTCATTTCCTAAATTGTGAAGCTGAGGAAAAGCAACCTCCTCACTGTTGGGGCAAAGGTTACCACAGTCACAGGGAACCAAAAATATCATGTGACACACCCAAGGGTCTGAAGTATTCAGGAGGTCTGACGGCCAGTTGTTTCTCACAATTAGGTTTGTTGTTGTTGTTGATTTTGAGACTAAGTCTCACTCTGTTACCCAGGCTGGAGTGCAGTGGTGCCATCTCATCTCACAGCAACTGCTGCCTCCTGGGCTCAAGCAATTCTCATGACTCAGCCTCCCAAGCAGCCAGGATTATGGACATGCACCACCACTCCCACTAATTTTTGTATTTTTAGTAGAGACGAGATTTCCCCATCTTGGCCAGGCTAGTCTCGAACTCCTGACCTCAGGTGATGATCCACCCACCTCAAACCCCCAGAGTACTGGGATTACAGGCATGAGCTACCGTGCCTGGCCCAGAGTATAATCTTTAATGGCAATTTTGGCATTAATTAAATGCAAGACATTTTTCTGTGCCTCCCAAGAAGCCCAAATCTAACCATACTGGCAAGAAGTGGTTCTTTCTGAATTTGTGACCACAAATTCAGAAGGGCCTCCTTGGGGCCAGTGTAAATATGTGTGCATGTGTCTTCTGAAATTGTAATGCTACTACAGATTTTCACATGTCTAGCCTTGTGTTTTCCTCTCAAAACCAGCACCAGGTAGGTATCACAATGGTTGCTTTACAACTGAGGAAATGGAGGGCAATCCCAGAGCCAGTGTGTAACAGATTTGCCTTCTGAACCTGGGAAAATTATTCAACCTTCAGCTGCCTTTCTGAGTCCATTTGACTAAATCTGATCACTGTTCCATTTACCTGGTCTTCCTTCTCTGTATTATTTTCTGAAGGAGAGTTGGTGTGCCAAAACTTACCATAGGGCTGGGTCTAACATTGCAGCCCTATATAAGTGTCTGGGATAAAATCTTGATGCTATCCCAGCACAGTGTTGATGGAACTGAGGCACTCATTTTTATGTTGCATTTATTAGCCATATAGGGCTAATGGTTACCATATTGGACAGTATGGCTTTATATGATGATATAACATATCTATATTTCAATTTTCTTTACAGAAGTGAACAAAACAACTCCAAAAGGGTACTAGTTTGAATTGGTATAGCTGTTCTAAAGTGAACTGGGGAAGCATCTTTCACTTTGCCATGAAAATATTTCCCAAGTTCTGCATAATAAAATAGTCAAAGCATACAGAGAAAATGAAACCATCTAAAGCAAAGATCACCCAACCCAGCCCGTGGCCTGTGTTACAATGCTTATGAACTAAGAATGGTTTTTAGATTTTCCAAGGATTGAAAAAACAAAACAAAACCGAAGAATATGCCAGAGACCTAGGTGGCCTGCAAAGCCTAACATTTTAACAGTCTGGCTCTTTATAGAAGAAGTGTACTGATCTCCAATTTAAAGAGTAGATTTTAGTATTAAAAATACAGTATCACTGCACTGTGTGTAGCTACTTTTTTCTATGTTTAAAGTAAAAATTTACAATTATGGAAATTGTATAATGTGCATCCAACAATCCTTCATTTCTAAATTTTATCAGTCATATTACCTGCACATTTTATATCATGCCATGTGCTTTTTATAAAAATATGTTAATGGCCTGATAGTATTCTGTTGTTTCATGTTATATTTTAACCTCTTCCCCTATTCTTGAGAACTTAGGTTCATAGCAATTTTTCAAAAATATTAAAATAAATGCCTGTTGATAGAGCAGTTTTAAAGAAAATAGCTAATTTTACTACCCCATTAAAAAGCAAAACAAAAACTATTTTCTTACATTAAGAATCTTCACTTAATGCTTAAGCAAGGGTCTTCAGATTGTCAAGCTCGATTAGTATTTTGTAATGGTGACCGACTCTGAGACCTCTCCGTCTCCAGTTGGGTAGACAGAGGGGCCTTCAGTTATTTCTATGTACAGGCTGTGCATTGGTGTTGAATGTTAAGTTTGTCTGCACATCCCTAAGATACATTGCTGCGGTTTCCTTTCTCCTTTATGGCTTTTTGGTCTAGGCTGTTTGTGGACTGCTGACTTTGCAACATTCCCTTACGTTTTTGTCTTCCGGATTAGATGCATATTCCAGTATAGAGCCATTCCCCATTTCCTGCAACAGGTCAGCCAGCACATAAAGGGTCATGTTTGCATGCAGGCCTGTGTGCGCGCACACACACACACACAGAGAGTTATATTCATGGTCATCCAGGATTGTTCTCCCCCTAACAGGTTCGATTTGCACAGGGCTGAGAGTCACATATTTTGTCTTTGAGCTCTGATGGGTGCAGACTTTTTCTCTAGGAATCCAACCATTGCCCTGGAAGCTGAGGTTACCATACTTCTCAGCAATCACGTAGGATGCTCTTGTTTTTTAACTTGAAAATGTGTGTGTTCCTCTTTTGTTTAACAGCTGTGCTCCTGAAGGTGTGTGTAAATTACCCTTTGGTTATGTTGGATCCTATGTGTCTACTGACTTACAAGATAACTCTGGAGTTTTGTTTTTGGTTTTTATGCATTTTTTTTCCTCCGTGGATCTTTAACTGGCCTTAGATTTTTTAAGACTTAAATTGTACCTCTTCCTAGCCAAATAGCTAATCATCTGTAAATGACACCCTTAAATGCAGTAGGGGAGATGGTTTTTAAAGGAACCCTGCTGGGTTAGTCTGTAATGAAAATAATTCCTACTGAAGTTATCTGCTTTTGCAGATGCATTTTTGCATAATGGTGAGCTTCCCGCCCCCGCCCCCCATTAAGTGGATCATCCTAATAATGTGACCCAGGACACATGAAAGTATTAAGAGAAAGATTTTTCACTCAAAACTTTGTTTCCATACAATCTAATTCCTTAGAGTCTTCCATCGGACCCCAAATGACTCCAGTTTTTCTCCCTCACCCCGAACTTCATGCGGGTTTAAAACCCTAGTTCAAATTGTGTCACAGGTCATCATGCGTCCTCTTACACGTCCTAATAAACTACTCTCATCCAGAGTATAAAATGGGCTCGCTTTCTATACGACTTAAATGAAGAAAGAACAAAACTCTAGAGAATTAGGCAACATCACCTAGTATCAAATGGAAAACATTTGCAATTAGTATTTTTCAATAGGCTTTCAACAGAAACAATGCAACCCCTTAACAGAAAGGCTTAGTGAAACGGGCAGGGCTGCTGACATGTGGACTGTCCACCCCATTCCGAAGGCCAGCGGTCAGCCTGTTCCTTTGCTCCAGGGGAAACGTGCTAGCTGTATTAGTGTCAGCGCTGTTTCACATATGGCGAATGCCCAACATCAAAATTGGCACCAGGCAGAAACAAGAAGGTAAAGAACATACCACATCTCTTCCAAATTAAAACATGAATTTCAATTTCATTAGTTGACATATCAAAAGGTAAATCATTGGTTCCATGAATGAAAAAGTTCCCTTCTGATTCAGATTAGCAAAGCAAGCTATCGCAGATCCTGATTTACATATGAAGTAGATGTTTCCAGAAGGACGTCAATATTTATTTTGTTTTCTTCAGGATTTTATGAATATATTTTAAATTACAATTGTCACAGGTGCTTATTGCAATCAGTGTGAAGTGTGCAAATAAACATACATACACACACAATTGGAATAATGTGGGAATAATATCCCTTTATCCAGTAACATAAACCCTTAAAATGTGTGTAGATGCCCAGTATCTTTCTACATTTTCTGCGTGGTTATTCAGGAGAGGACATATACATATGCAATGGTGGGGGCTGGGGGCTGGGGGCAGGGTGTTATT